AACACACATGTACACGACAACGATGGTCTAGGATTTCATGGGGAAAACAACAATATAGGGGTCGGTGTACCACCAATAAACCCTAGAGAAGTGCCAAATATGGAAACAGTTGATGTTAGTTCACACATTGCTCTGAACGAGGATTTAGGCACAGACACTAGAGGGAATGTACGCAAGGAAGCCCGATCTGGTGGCCAATGAATGCAGGGTATGGAACTAGTTGATGTTATTTCACACATCGCTCTGAATGCGAATTTAGGCACAAACCCTGGAGGGAGTGTACGAAGGGAGGCCCGGTCAGGTGGTCAAGGAACGCAGGGTATAGGAGATGGGGGAGTTGGCCTCCAGGTGATATTCGAAATGCTATAAGCTCAATAGATTGCCATAGCTCAACTTCAAAGTCAAAATAAAACTCTAAGTATAGCCGAACCAGAAAACACTCGATGTGCTAAACCAAAACTAGAGAGATCAAATGGTAGTGGCTCTGGGACTGACCCCACAATTATGAGGATGCTCAAATATCTCACAAAGATGATTGATACCGTGGAAAAAAGATTCAGGATAATGAGAAAAAGGTGGATGCCAAAATGTTCATACAGAAGCTGCTCCCTTGGCTGGACCGAATGGAATTACCACCGGTCTCGGATGACTGGGTAATGCATGCTTTTATGCAGGTTTTGAACGAGCAAAGTTCTATCGCGTCTCAATAATTAAAGTAGAATCTCATTGAGCATCCAGCTATGATGTGGTCAGACGTGCATAATCGTTACCAATCAAAGATTAGGGTCGAGGAAGACCAGTTGGGAGCCCCCTCACGCTTAGTTCATCCTAATAGATTGGTAGCTAAGCCCCGAGGGATACAGACAGGGAATCCAGATCGAACAAGGAACGATATCAGCTGTATGTAGATCAGCTAAACAATAGCTCGGAGTGTAATAATCTTTGGAATGATCGTGGTTAAAGCTCTCGGGGACTAATAAGCAAGAATGGGTTAGATAAACATACTGACCCCGCGGAAGCACCTTAATTATCGGAGTGTTTAGATGCATTGGGGATCGTGCCAGCTATTTGAATAATTAAAGACACCAGGTGGCCCAGGACTATCCAAACCGATCCTTCTCAAAGAAATCCAAACTTAATGTGCAAGTATCATGGCACACATGGGCATAGAACCGAAGACTACAAACAGCTAAGGGAGGAAGTAGCTCGGTTGTTCAACGAGGGTCATCTTCGAGAATTTCTCAGTGATCAAGCTAAGAACCACTTCAGGTAAAGAGATACAAACAAGAAGAATGAGCAGGAACAACCATAGCATGTAATCCACATAATCGTTGGCGGTGTCGATATACCAGAAGGTACTGTGTTCAAATACACCAAGGTGTCGATCACTAGAGAAAAATAGACATAGAGCTATGTGCCCGAGGGCGTCCTATCATTCATTAACAAGGAAGCAGAAGGCATATCTCAGCCGCACAATGACACCCTGGTAATTTCTATTTTATTAAATAAAATTCAAGTTAAACATGTTTTAGTGGATCTAGGTAGCTCAGAAAACATAATCAGATCAAAGGCCGTAGATCAGCTCGGCCAACATGATCAAATTGTGCATGCATCTCGGGTCCTAAATGGCTTCAACATGGCAAGTGAAGCAACAAAGGGGGAGATAATCCTACCAGTGAACATGGCCGGAACCATCCAAGATACGAAATTACATGTCATTGAAGGCGAAATGAGGTATAATGCACTTCTTGGGAGGCCATGGATCCATAGCATGAGGGTTGTACCTTCAACCCTTCATCAGATGATGAAATTCCGAACAGTGGAAGGTGTGAAAATGGTCTACAGAGAACAACACACTGCAAAGGAAATATTTGCAATCGATGAGGTGACACCGATTCCAGTGCCTTTGAACTCAAAATAATCGAGGGCCAAAGGTAAACAGGTGGCCAAATAGCAATCACCGATTCCGGTCCCGATCGAGCCGAAGGAATAAGTAATCAAAGACGAAGAAGAAGAAGAGGATTTCCTTACTCCTTAAACTTTCATTGTTCCTGAAGAGTCGGACGCAACCATGTCAACAGTCGAGAAACTACAACAGGTCATACTGATCGAGTACATGCCCAAGAAAAAGGTATACATGGGAATGGGATTAACCCCCGAACTTAGGAAAAAACTCATTCAATTTCTTATCGATAATACGGATTGTTTTGCTTGGTCCTATTTAGATATGACAGAGATCCCGCCGGGAATAACAACGCACCAGCTAAGCATCGACCCTGGGTTCAAACCAGTAAAAACAAAAAAGTGGCCGCAATCCGAGATGAAACATGCATTCATAAAGGAATAGGTAACCAAACTTCTTAAAAAAGGATCTATAATACCTCAAGTGGTTAGCCAACGTAGTTGTAGTTCTTAAAAAGGGAAACAAACTTAGAATGTGCGTAGATTATAAGGATTTCAACAAAGCATGCCCTAAAGACTCTTTTCCACTGCCCAACATCGATCGCATGATTGACTCCACGGCCGGCCACGAGATCCTTACCATTCTCGATGCCTACTCCGGGTACAATTAAAATCAGATGAACCTGGGGGACCATAAGAAGACCTCATTTATCACTAATTTTGGAACCTATTGTTACAACGTAATGCCCTTTGGGCTAAAAAAATGTAGGAGCTACATACCAACATCTGGTTAACAAAATGTTTGAGGAACAGATAGGTAGATCGATGGAAGTTTATTGATGATATGTTGGTTAAGTCCCTGCGCATAGAAGACCATTTAACTCATTTGCAAGAAACATTCAAAATCTTAAGGAAGTACAACATGAAGTTTAACCCGGAAAAATGTGCATTCAGAGTTGGCTCGGGTAAGTTGCTTGGCTTTATGGTATCGAATCGGGGCATCAAAATCAACCCCGACAAGATCAAGGGCATCGAGGATATCACAATTGTGGATACTGTGAAAGTCGTGCAAAGGATAACAGATCGAATAGCCGCCTTGGGTCGATTCATTTCAAGGTCATCAGATCGAAGTCATAGGTTCGTTCCTTGTTAAAAAAGAAATAGAATTTCACATGGACCCCGGAATGCCAGCAAGAGTTAGAAGAATTGAAGTGATACTTATCGAGCCCACCTTTGCTTCACACCTCGAAGGTAGATGAAAAGATTTACTTATATTTGGCAGTGTCCGAGATAACGGTAAATAAGGTGCTAGTTCGAGAAGAGCAAGGTACGCAATTCCCTATTTATTATGTAAGCCGAACTCTAGGAGATGCTAAAACAAGATACCCTCACTTAGAAAAGTTAGCACTTGCATTAATAAGCGCTTCTAGGAAGCTAAAGCCATATTTTCAGTGTCATCTAATATGTGTGCTAACAACTTATCCTCTTGGAAATGCTTTGCATAAGCCCAAACTATCAGGCCGATTGGCCAAATGGGCAGTCGAACTCGGCGGGTACGATATCGAATATTAACCCCGAATAGCCATCAAGTCTCAAATATTGGCCGACTTCGTAGTTGATCGGGTCCAACCCTACACCACTACAGAGTGACAAGAGCGGTCGATGCAACTTTTACCCGAGAAGGTCGGGATCAAATCCACAGGGAGCTAAGATAATGTTTGGAGTTGGGTTCTTATCTAACCTAGCACTGTGCGATGTAATTTCTTGCACTTCCAATCATTCTTGTTTGTTTGTTACTTCTAATTTTATACTAATGATGCATGAAATTAAGCTAAGTAGATACTTTTGTAGGTTTTTTTAAATGGGTAAAGAGGCACTAGGGAAGTGACTTACTCCTAGGCAAGTATCTAACGGGATCTAAAACTTAGGGCAATAATGTTATAGTTGGTATCGTGATATAGCCAATGCACGAAGCTACTTACTCTACACCTCTCAGTAGTAATAGTGACTTTGCCCTAATTGGCTTTCTCAAGCCCTATTGGGTGTTCAATTTGTGCAAGCAATATTGGCTCAAGTCGGGTATTACTATCTCTAGGTTTAACCCTTTAATTGGGGCTATCAATCTCTTGAATACACCACAATTCCTTGTTGACTTGAAATTCGTAGACCTAGTCTCTCTTTCTCAAGAAGAGCCTAAGTAAAAAAAGGAACAAATTAGTTTTTGCAACCACTAATTCAACATAGAAAGCATAAATCTGGCCATATAACAGTTACCCATAAATATCTAAGCCCTAAAATAAGAGACCCATTAAGTACCCACTAGGGTTAGCCACAGCCCTAGCTAATGGATTTAGCTACTCATAATTGAAGAAAAAATCATACATTGAGATGAAGAATAATCCATAAATTGTAATTACAAGATAAGAGTCTAAGATTAATTGCTAAGTAAGCTACAAAATTACTCAAAATAGACAAAAATCGGTGTAACGTGCTCAACTAACATAAAATGACCTAAAAATCTGAAAAAGTAGTATTTATACACATCTAAATTTTTCGGACAAAAATGTCTCTGACGGAGGTGTAGACATGTGATTTTTGAATCTCCCCGAGATTTTTTATATTTTAACATGTAAATATTTAATTTAGGACTAATATCGCTATTTCAACTAATTTTGACTCTTTTGCTTTATTTTATTATAAGAAAATAAAAATTACAAAAAATAGTTTCATTAATGCCTTGTAGTCATTTTAATCTTGTAAAAATACCAAAAAGAAAATAGATTCATTTATGGTTTATCTTTAATAGTTTATTTTACTTAATTAGGAGTAGTCTTACATTTTTATAAATACTTTATACTATTTTAAATAAGAAAAACATAGGCCCTCAGTTAATAAAATCCAGATTTTCTAAGAAAGCCCAATTGTTAGCTAATTCAAGACAATTTTAGCTCAATTTTGGGCAAGAAGATGGCCTAATTTCGGACTAGCCCTTGAGCCCAAACCCTCCATTGCCCCAAAATTAACCCTTGGCCCAACACCCCTTCCCTTTAATTGAACCCTAGATATATACATATAAAGAGAAATGAGCTGAAAATGAAGGGAGAGAAGCTAAAAAAAGAGACCTAGGACAAAAAAAAGCGGACAACCGCAGACATAGCAGACAACCGCAGACCTAGCCCCACCTCTCACGTCTCCTTCTTCGCACCACCCAACCAGACTTGGACCCCTGATCTCCTACGCTAAACCAGCCACCACAGTTCGCCGGAAACCTCCATCTCACACTAGCGAGCCATCCCTCCAAGCCACCCCATCGTCGACCACCATTGAAACTAACGACCCATCACTACCGGTTATCTTCTTCACAAAACACGCACACTCACGCTGAAAACACACACAGCAAGAGATCCCCTGCTAAATTTCATCTTTTTCTACACTTCAAGGACACACCTGAAGATTTCCAGCCAAAAAGGACCACAAATTCTGACAACTCTTAAGAAAAGAGAAAATTCCTACAACGCGGTTTAGTCCAAAAAATTCCTACAATAGTGGAGGACCAAACTCTAGCGAAAATTAGTCGAGTAACCGAGTTCCGTCAAAAGATCCGGTGAGTCGGTCTAGTTTGAGGTCCAGACTCATTTACTTGTTAGTTCTCTAGCGGTTAGCTGGTCTATAATAGAGGTGAGCCTCGCTTATCCATATGCTATCAAATTTTGTCCATGTTTGAGATATTTCTTTGTAGTAACTTGAGATTTCAAGATCTGTGATTAATAGTTCATTCAATAGCTTAAAAATGAAATCACAATTACGAAATTATTATTGCTTCTATTGAATAAGTACTGTTTTTATAAGAAAGTTTGATTCCCTTTTAATCAAAAACCATGGAATTCTGTTTAATTCTTTGGGGTTGTAGAGTAGAAAGGGCACGCCATTTTCCGGATAAGAAAACCAGAAAGCAGAACTGGTTGTGCAAAATTCTATTTAGTTTGTTTGTTTGTTTTTTTTTTTTTGGCTTTGAGAGTCAGCTACATTTTCGTTTGAATTGAAAGACAAGTCTCTCTAGTTTTTCTTGGGTTTGTGTTTTCCTTAAGTTTAAAATTGTGCTTTAGGATTGAAAACTTAAAAGGAGGCATTCGGTTGTGCACCTTCCTGACTCTCGTGGCTAAGGTATAATCATTTTAAGATAATAGAATTACGAACTTTGTAGTTTTCTTATGCACGTAATTAAATCATCACAATTACGGGTATGGTTCCCATAGCGTGGTTGTGATACCTAATCTTGAATTAATTTTTTTAGTATGAATACCCGTAATTCGCTTTAATTTGAGCACAAATCTTTTTCTTTAAATAAGTTGAGGTGTGCCATACAATCACCTAGTCTATGGCCCTCACATCGATATCATAATTAGTGTAGAAAATGCCTTGAAATCTCATAGTTTGCTTTAGGCGCATTAATTAAATAAATTATTGTAGCTACGGGTATGGTTCCCATGACGTGGTTATGACACTTAATTTCTAAAATCGGGGGTACATTTATGTGACCCGACCACAATTTAATCTTGTTAATAAAATAAACATGTTGTGGATCATGGATACGGTTCCCGTGACACGATTCGCGACGTATAATCAAGTAATTAGTTGTATAAAAATCGGATTATTAAAAGCGGTTAAAAGGATTAAAAATGCACATAGGTTTCAAAGTTATTTTAAAATCAAATAAATAGGCCAATAATAACAGTTGAGGGACCGTGCTAAAATCACGGAACCCGGGAATGCCTAACACCTTCTCTCGGGTTAACAGAATTCCTTACCCGAATTTTTGTGTTCACGGACTGTAAAACAGAGTCAACCTTTCCTCGATTTGGGATTTAAACCGGTGACTTGGGACACCAAAAATTATCCCAAGTGGCAACTCTGAATTTTAAATAAAATAATCTCATTTCGATTGTCACTTAAATTGGATTTCGGGGTGTGAAAAAGGAGGTGTGATAGCTCTAGCGACTTTGCTGGGGATCGAACCCAGAATCTCTTGTTCAGGATTCAAGAATTCGAGCTTAGAATAATTGTTATATTTGGCTTTTATTTATTATCTGGTTTTAATTACATGTTTGGGCCTAATGTGCTAAATTTTGCTTTTACCGCTTTCATATTATCTGAACTGTATATAAACTTCTACGAAACCCTTCTTTTCTCATCTTCAGGGATGTGCACGCTGGTGTGACTCCTCTTCTGTTAGTGTCATACCTTAAATTAGGAATAGGCTCGGACAAGTTACAAAATCGGATGGCCTTTTGGTTCCCGGTACGTAGCCCCCTCCTCCCGGCTCAAGTTGTCCGCTCGGGTACACAAGTCTAGAACAACATACCCAAGTTTTGAACATAGAATAACTCAACCTCATGCCGCATCCGTAGTAGAAATGCTTTTCTACATCATATGCATTTGACTTTGGGGAGTCAACACAAGTGTTATGTCCATCTAAGACAGGTGTACCCAAAAATAAAAGACCATCCAGATGCATCTTATGTGCTACATTGTTGCAATCTTCAAGGGTAAGAGGGTTATTTGGCAGATCAATGATAGTTGAGGACAAATGAAAAAGAAAAAAGAGAGAGGGTGAAGTATGAAAATAAAGCAAGTAGGACCCAATTATGTTTTCTACCACNGTGAAAAATAAAGCAAGTATGGACCAATTATGTTTTCTGTCACATTTTTTGTTAAGAAAAGAAAAACATGAAAAATTCAAAAAAAGATTTTGCACTTTTCATCATTTTCTGAAAATCAAAAAAAAAAAGAAAAGAAAATCCAAAAAGAGTTTACATGTTTCATCATTTTTCAAAACGAAAGATAAAAAATATTATTTTTTCCGAATAAACTATTTTTTTAATTCTCAACCGTATCCAATCTGCCTGAACTACGCATACCTGATTCTCGTCTTTTGGGGCGTGATACATAGGCAACCCACATAGGGTCCGGTCTTCCTAGTGAGTTTAGGTTCTTGGCTTCGCAGGGTCTTAGCCAAATCTTGCATTTTTAGCCACTTTTAGCCACATAGGTTAATTTTAGAAAAATAGTCACAACCATGTCTTGCATGTGTCTAATATGGAATGTTATTGTCTCACAGAGTGTTGGTTTCAGTTTTGTCATACAGGTGTGGATCTACTTACCGGAGTTTGAGCATGACAGATATCCCAGGACTACTGCATTAAGGAGCTGCCTGAGGATTTTTTTTTTTTTGAGTCTATTGTTCATGTTTTACTTTCTAGTGTTGTATAGTAGTGTTCAGTCATTTAGTTGATGCTAGAGTCTATCATAGTCTAGTTAAGTTTATCGAGTCTTTTGTTATTATTTCGTATTTGGTATTTGAAAAATGTATCATAAATCAAAAATCCAAGAAAGAGATATTTTGCATTTTATATTTCTGTTAGAATTTTCTTTAGAAATACTACTCCTAGAAATTAAATTTTTTTAAAAAAATTGAGGTGGTTTTTCCTTTAGAAAGTTAATATCTAGAAAAAAACAATTGCTTTTATATTTCTTTTAGGATAATAGGACTAAAAACTCAAAAAAAAATGAGATTTTTCTCTTTTGATATCTCTTTACAAGTTTTCTTTAAGATATTAATTCCAAAAGCCAAAAAGATTTTTCTTTGAGGTTCTTCTTTCGGAAATTAATAAATAAAAAAAAAAATTCTTTCTATTTTCAGTAGAACTTCAGGACATTGTACGTAGAAGGAAAAAAAACATACTTTATCTTTTGTTTATCATTAGAATTTCTCCTTTAGCCAATCAGAAATTGAAATCCAAAAATATTTTGTTTTATCTTTTTCATTGCTTGTTTCGAAATCTTGCGTCGGGATATCAAATGAAAATTCAAAATATTTTTCTGTGGTTTATTCTTTAGATTTCCTTCATAAAAAAAATCAAAAAATATTTTTTCTCTTCTAGGATTTTTCCTTAATAATTCCCATAGAGTATTTGTTTTAAAAAAAGGGGAAAAGAAAAATATTTGCTCGTTTAAGATTGGGTTTAGAATAGATTATAGTACATTAAGTCTAGAAAAAAAGAGATTTTATTCTTTTTTCGTCAGCGTAGTCATTAAGGTAAAAAAAATATAAAAGAAAAAGAAAAAAATGAAAAAAAGGGTGAAACTATAGGATATGAGATATGAGAGTAAAGAAAAGAGTGATAATTAAAAAAAAGAGGAAGGAAAATGAGCAAGCCGAGAAGTGCTGAAGTGAATAAATTGGGATGATGCCATATGACCTTCATGCCCTCGAAGTCATGTTAGAACCGATAACTGTGACTAAGTGCATTGCACATAATATAAGATTGTTTTATGTTAAATGCCCTAACGCTAACGGGATGACTTTATTTTGTTCCTTTTACTATCTTTATTATAGCAGAAGGGTGGGTGGTTTGTTGTTCTTAAAGTGGTAACTCTTCTCAACAACATAAAGTCGAAACGCAATGGCAGACGGCAACGGAATTGAGTTGGTTGGTACTGGTGCACAAAAGCAATTGGTTGAACAGGGCAATGTGTTAGTTGAAGAGGTAAGGATGTTAAGACAACATATTGCGGACATGTATCAGGCTTGGATGACCGGTAAGGCACTACCCCCACCACCTGGCTTCTTAGATGCTACCCTTACCCAAACTCCGGCATAGTGCCAGATGATCCCCCATACTCTCCATATCCACCCACTTATCACAGCTTTCCCAGTCACCCTAGTAGCCTTATCACTCATCCTCCAATTACTTTTCCCCAAAATTGCCCTCCTATCATATCCACTACCCCCATGATCACAACTTATCAACAATCTTCCCTTCATAGATCCGACAACGAACATCCACTCAAAGCCCATGATGCCCAATATTACCCCTTAGAAGTTGCCCACGAGATTTTTGACTCATACAATCAGAGCCTTCGAAATGAGCCTCATGTTGAAAATGAAAAGTTCACAGGAAAAGAAGGGTTAGATGAGCTATCCAGAAAGTTGAAAGGGTCTAAAACGCCAAAGCTTAATTTATATGATGGACGTGAAGATCCATTAGCCCATCTGAGAGGTTACTGCAGTGAAATGAGAAGTATTGGCGGGAAAGATAATTTGTTGATGGCGTATTTTAGTGAGAGCTTAACTGGGGCAGCCTTGCAATGGTATACTCGTCAAGATGTCAATAAGTGGCATGCATAGGATGATATGGCTCAGGATTTTGTTCGACACTTTCGGTACAATCTAGACATTATCCTAGGCCGCTCCTCCCTATCTAATATGGAAAAGAAATCGAAGGAAATCTTTAGGGAGTTTGGGCTCAGATGGAAGGAACAGGCTGCTCGAGTCAGTCCCCCGATTGGTGAAATGGTTGATCTTTTCCTACAAGCCCAAGAGCCCACCTACTTCAGTCATTTGATCCCGGCCTTGGGTAAACCTTTCAATGATGTGGTAAAAATGGGGGAGATGGTAGAAGAGGGAATCAAGTCAGGCAAAATCATGAGTTATTCTGCACTGAAAGACACTACAAAACACATTCAGAACATCTCAGTAAGTTTGGATGGAAGAAAGAGAAATAGTAAAGATGTTGTTGAGCGCCAATGACAGGATCCAGTGGGCATTCCTGCTCAACGCTTGCAGCCTCGATATCGACCCCATGGATATTCATGTGCTCCAGATAATCCTCCCAAATGCTACTTCTCTCCATAAAACCCACCAAGTTATACATCACCTTCCCAGTACTCCGTCCATAATGCACCACCCTATGCTCCACACCCACGAGACCTGCGATGGCCTGCACCACTTCCATAAATGTCTTACACGCCCCCTCAAGCATATCAACCACCTACCCACAAAAGGTTCAAACAGAGGCCAGAGTACAAGATAAAAAGGCAAAAGCAAATGGAAAATACTTTCATGCCCATTGGAGAATCATATGCCAGTTTGTTCCAAAGGTTGAAGCAATTGGACATGTTGAAGCCGATTCAAATAAAAGCGTCGAACCCTCTTCCAAAGAATTTTGATTATTCTCAAAGGTGTGCACACTGCTGTGATGCCCTGGGTCACAACACAAAAAAGTGTTGAGCATCTGAAAAAAGCAATTCAGAAGCTTATTGATGCAGGCGATATTGTCATGAAAAATCTAGCTGCAGTAGACACTAGCCAAAGTCCAGCGCCTATTCATAATGAGACGCATATGGTGGATATGATTTGTTTTGAAAAGGAATATGAGAATTCTTCTGAGATCCTTGGAGGTCCACGTGCCGCAAAGCTTTCAGCGCTATCAGAGGTTGGTCTTAAGAACGAGCCGGCAAAAGGGACCCAAATGCAATTTGCTAAAGTCAATGTGATGGAGACTTGTGAAGGTCCTAGTAATGTTGATGCGGAACTCAGTGGCTAAGATGTCGTGCTTGGTAATTGGAAAGACGCTCCATCTCTTGGATAGCCGGGGAGGAGTCTTGGTGGTATATTTTGTTGTCATTTCTGTTGTCTGGGTAATTTTTAGGGTTGTAATCCGGATATTGTCTTGTGACACAAACTCTTCTATCCTTTTATTTTGCTTAGTTTGTTTAGTCGTAGTGGCTCATTTAGTGTTGTCTAGTTTTGTTCCAGGGTAGTGCCCCAGTTTGTTTTGTTTGTCTTGTTGTTCAAACCCTTTCACCATCCGTCTAATGCAATTTTCTGTTTTTTGTTATTTCTGGTCATTTTTTGTTTAGTTCTCTTCTCCTTTTATAGTTTTTTTACTCATGTTGGCTCGAGTGACATGACATGCACGCATAATTCTAGTCCTAGTCTTAAAAGTTAGTTTAATCATGAAGCAATGAAACAATTTTGAAGATGATAAGGACACTTGAAGGAAATAAGTATATATTTGGACATTTTGAGATCATTTGAAGCCCGAACTGTGTGAAACTGGCACGGATAGTTTGTGAAGTTAATAGGGTGACAAGAATTCGTTAAAGGAGAGCACATCCCAGACAATTTGAAGGGAGTAGTTTCGAGTTCAAGTGTACCTCAGGTAACAAGATAAACCCAAGGGAGTTTGCTCCGAATTGACGGGGCACATCTATTTTGAAGAAGAAATCACCCAAGAAGAGCTATATATTTGACAAGGCACTAAAGAAAGTTGGAGGGAATATCTATGGTACTAATGCCGATGCCGCAAAAGAAATATTATGCATGATCTTCAATTTTTATCCTCAAGTTGCATGTGTTGTACTTGGCATTTTCAGGGATTGGGAGGCCCTCTTTCATCTACCCAAACACTTATACCATTTTGTACCCCTTTAAGCCTGTGCTGAATTCTTTGACCTCCCCCCTTTTGGAATCAAGTTAGATTCATGTCCCCATAGGTTTACTTTAGAAATTTCATTCCAAAAAAATTCAATTAAAAAGAAGAAGAGAAAAATAGAGATAAAAAAAGAAAAAAAGGAAAAGAGAAAAACAAAAAGGAAAATAGTAACAAAAGTAGTCTTGTGAGCTATGTTTGACCTGATTCTTTTCACCACAAGATACGTAGGCAGCCTTACCGTTCGATCATACCAAATAAAATATTTCATAATCCCACGAAGTTAAGAGTGGGGGTAGTTTTTCTTAGAATCAAATTCTCTTGTTTTAGAAATTGGGGCAAAGTTTAAAATGGATTCCCAAAGTTGTAAATAAATTAACCTTGTTATCTTAGTTGTTTTGAGCTTTTATGATATCCTTTCTTTCTAACCCTGTCCAAAAGCCACATTACAGTCCAAAAAAGACCTCCAAGATAATCTATGAGAGTGCTGAGTTTAGACATGCCAAGAGCACATGATATTTATATCACAGTTGATGCCTTGCCATCTGCGGAATCAGAGAAAATAAGAAGAAAAGAACAAAATGAGAGAGTCTTATTGGTGAAAACTTTCACAGGCACCATAAGGCGATGGTGAGTTGAGAGAAAGAACAAAATGAGAGAGCATTGATGGTGAAAATGTCACGCCCCAAAACCGAGGAGCGCGACCGGCGCTCAATCGAGTGAACCCAACTGAGCAAGCCTTATCAACCACTATCTACCCAACTCAATAAGAATAAGGAAGTCATGCTTACCTTTATTTAAACTAGGAGAGGTAGCACATTCAACATCTTAGTTCATTTCATATCACAACATTAAAACGTGGTTGACTTCCAAGGTTCCATACAAGTTATATTGTAGAAGAAAGCAAGGGTACAAGGTTACAACATGGTCCATTGACCTATCCAATACCCATACATAACCCACACAAACGTCTACGGAACCTGTAAGGATACAAAAGATATGATAGCAATGTCGGCAACAAGGCCCCGGATATACCTCAAAAGTAAAAGTCCAAAACAAGAAGATGTGAAATATAGCCCCTCGAAGGAGAAGGGGTCTCACCAAGAGCTTTAGAAGAAGGATGCTCCGCTACACAC